GAGAGGTTATTGCAGCAGTAGCAGCTTAACCCTTTCTTACTCCCTTACTTTGCCTACAAAATCACCCCTTGCAGGAGTAGGTTTCCTGGATGCTCTCAAATACTGCAAAATGTCTAGTTCCTGGCCATACAATGTGGTGATGGAGAGAAGACTCCAAAACTAAAATTCAAGGGTCCCCTGCCTACAAATTCTGTAGGAACAAATTCATTTTGATGTAGCTAGGACAAAAAGGAAAGTCAGAAATGATTCCTTTCCATTGCCACAAATTAGAATCTAGACAAAGATCCTCTTTTCAGAGCCTTTGTGATGGGCATTATAATGCCGCCTCCTCCTCCAACAGATGTTCCCGTTCCAGTCCCTACACCCTTGGAATGTGTAAGATTGCCTGCCAAAAAGGATTTAATGGTCCAGATACAATTAAGGTTGCTAATCAGCTGACCTTAAAATAGATTTTGTAGGATTATCTGGGCGGACCAGATGTAAGCACACTGGGCCTTAAAGTGGAAGAAGTAGGCTGACAGGTCAGGAAAAAGGAAGATGTGACCACAAAACACAGGCACAGAGAGGTGCAACAGTGCTGGCTCTGAAGGTGGACGTGCCCATGAGCCAAAGCCTGTGGGGCCCTCTAGAAGCTGGAAAAGAAGAGAAAACAAATTCTCTCCTAGAGCCTACAGAAAGGAATGGAGCCCCACCGACACCTTGATTGTAGCCCAGTTAGATCCTTGTCAGATTTCTGCACTCCAGGACTGTACCATAATATGTTTGTGTTGTTTAAACCACCACAGCGGCAACAGGAAACACACTATCCCATGCCAGTCTAAATTGCTGTAGAGCTAGAGCTGGAGTCTGGAGCTCACAGACCCCTCGAGTCCATTCACAAACCATTCACATGCAGGCATATGAGCTAGGTAACCGGCAAAAAGGTCCTTGGAGCCCTGGTTGAAGAAGGAATAGTCTTTATTCAATACTCACAACACTATGAGCCAGTCTATAGGAGAAACTCAGAAACTCAACTGCTATGGCAAAGTCCAAAGGAAAAACTGAAACTGAGCAGCTGCCAGCAGACTAAACATGCTTATTGTTAGACGCTTAGAGGCCCTCCCTATTTCACAAACTGATCAACACACAATAGCTACAAAACTAAAAAAATACATTGGCGCACATGCGCACTAACTCCACCCACACACTACTTGTTTACCAGAAATGTCCAGGGAGCCTGACTAACTTATCCTATTTTCCCCACAATTGCCTCTCCCCTTTCCAAATCCTCATCCTGTCTGGGGGGATGGAGGGGTGAGGGTTAAAACGCACATGTCCCATTCTTCCCGACCATTGCCATCTTCTCATTTTTCTCATAATCTACTCAGGATAGAATAGGTGGACTTTCCTCCCAATGGCTACATCATCAAATCCCGCTGTTAACAGAAGGGCAAACTTAAGGTCCTCTTTCCATAGACACAAAGACCAGAAGTCAGTCCCCCAAACCTAGTGGCAGATATATCACAGAGGGGCATAAATAAACTCAGAAAATCTCCTCTTATGTTTCTCTTGCTCAAAAAGCAAGTACTAGCTTTTTGTCACCACAGAGGTCAGGAAAAGAAACACGGTAAAACAGGAAATTAAATTGTCATTGTTTAATATTTGCAAACATATTGTCTCTATTGATGATGAAACCACCTGTAGCTGTTTTTCTTCAGCGGAATCTGTGAAGATGCACGTCGGCTCAATATGAATCTGGCTGAGAAAAGCATATAGAACATAGTTCTCTACTCTGTAGTTCACATCAACAATTATTAGGGAATTTTCCTGAAATAATAAAGGTTACAGAGAAAGTTTACATATTCACATGTAGCAATCGTTATAGCTAAGACAAATTAGAAAGATTTGACACTGGGCTTGACTGGGGAGAGCTGAAGACAGGAACTTCTCCTGAAATTCTGCAGTAGCAG